AATATATTATATATATAAAAAAAAAGATTATTTTTTATTCTTTACTAGAACCTCAAAAGATCAAGATCAAGATTAAGAGGGTAGGGCCTATTAAAGATCAGAGATGTAGTCTTTGTGTTGAACCAGGAGATGGGAGAGATACTAAATGAATATTTTGTCAGTTTTTATTGTGGAGAAAGAAATGGAGTCTAGAGAACACAGAGAAATAAACTTTTTTTTGATGTTTTAAAACAGTTCACATTACAGAAGGAGTAGTTCAGGAGATCTTGGGGAATATACAGGTTCATAAATCTCCAGGACCTGATCTAATGTATCCCAGAATGTTGCGGGAAGGAAGGGAGCAAATTACGAGACCCCTTGAAGAAATATTTGCATCATCTGTAACTGGGGTGGCTCATGTTGTGCCTTTGCTTAAAAAAGCTTGCAAGGAGAAACCAGGGAACTATAGACCTGTGAGTCTGACTTCGGTTATGGGTAAATTGTTGGAGGTGATTATAAAAATCAGATTTTTGGACGTTTAGAGAGGCAAAAATTGATTAGGGTTAGTCAGCATTGTTTTGTAATAGTGTCTCACAAACTTGATTTATGTTTTTTTTGAGGAAGTTACCAAAAAAAAAAATTGATGGCAGAGCAGTAGACATTGTTTACTTGAATTTCAGTAAAGCCTTTGACAAGATTCTGCATGATGGACCAGTTAGTAAAATTAGATCACATGGGATTCGGGTGAGCTTGTCAAATGGATACATATTTGACTTAATGGCTGGAGACAGAGTAATGGTGGAGTGTTGCTTTTCAGACTGGAGGCCTGTGACCAACTGTGTTCCACAAGAATTGGTTCTGGGTCCTCTGTTTGTCATTTACATAAATGATTTGGATAAGGATATAGAAGGCACAGTTAGTAAGTTTGCGGATGACACTGAAATTAGTGGCATAGTAGACAGTGAAGAAGGTTTTCTGAGATTACAAAGGATCTTGATCGAATGGGTCAACTGGCTGAAAGATGGCAGGTGGAGTTCAATCTGGATTAATATGAGGTATTGCATTTTGGTACAACAACAAGAGTAGGGATTATACAATTAATGGTAGGACCTTGGGTAGTGTTGTAGAACAGAGGGACCTAAGGGTGCAGGTATGTAATTCTTTAAAGTTTGCGTCACAGACAGGGTGGTTAAAAAGGCATTTTGTATGCTTGCCTTCACTGTTCAATCCTTTTGAGTATAGGAGTTCGGACATTATGCTGAAGTTGTACAGGACTTTGGTGAGGCCCCTTCTGGAATACTGTGTCCAGTTTTTGTTGTCCAGTTGTAGGAGGGATATTATCAAGCTGGAGAGGGTTCAGAAGAGATTTACCAGGATGTTGCCAGGTATGGAATGTTTGAGTTATAAAGAAAGGCTGGATAGGCTGGGACTTTTTTCACTGGAGTGTAGGAGGTTGAGGGGTGACTTGATAGAAGTTTATAAAATAATGAGAAGGAGAGATAGCGTTGATGGTAATTGTCTTTTCCCTAAGATGGGGAATTTCAAGACGAGGGGACACATTTTTTAGGTGAAAGGAGAGAGATTTTAAAAAGACATGAGGCAAATTTTTATACAGGGTGGTTTGTGTGTGGAATGAACTTCCTCAGGAAGTAGTGGATGCGGGTACAATAACAACGTTTCAGAGACATTTGGATAAATACGTGAATAGGAAAGGTTTGGATGGATAGGGCCAGGAGAAGGCAGGTGGGACTAGTTTAGTTTAGGATTATGTTTGGTATGGACTGATTGGATCAAAGGGTCTGTTTCCAAGCTGTATGGTTCTGTAAGACTGCATTAACACTGGTTGGGATTGATGTAATATGGTGAATCTGCTTTATAGGTCGCTCTTACTCTTGGCACTCTTAGGTTAGAGTTGGTTTTTCAGTACTAATGGTACATTTGCAAAAGGGAGCTGGGGTGAAACTAGATTTGACATTTAACATGTACCACTGAAACATCAGACTGCAGAGGTGGTATGTTTCTAGGCCAATTGACAATGTCTCAATTTAATGCACTTAACATTTCATCTGCAATACTGTGTCCAGTCATCACCCTGGTTTCAAAGGTCTGAGTTACACTGAAAACACTGCAGAGATGTGGGCTCTTTAGCCTAGAAAGGAGGTGGCTAATCTTAGATGGCACTAGGTATTCCAGGGCACCACTACTACAAGGAGACTAGAATAGGGGAGCACTGGATAAAACCCTGTTTAAGCAGCTATCAGGGCAAGCTTCACTCAAGTATTCCAACATTTAGAAAATATCTTTTGCCAGGATGAGCTTTCATTGGAGTGGTGGTTGCACCAGGATTTAATTTGCATTCTTTCTGAAGAAACTAAGTGGATGAATTGATAGGTAAGCTGGGGCTGGCTGGGTCCTCCTGCTCTGTTGCCAACTGTCACCCAATTCTGCTTCCTTACAAACCTGAAGCTGAATCGGATTGTACGCTACCTTCGGTGTCAAATTACAGTGCTTTGTAAATTGTTTTTCATTGAAGGATTCCCTTTCAAATTGGTTAGTATTCATCAACCGCAATTTAAATTATAATGGTATGTAATGTGCATAATGTGAAAGCACTGCATGTATATAGAGTGCTTTAATATTGTCTTTAAGAAAATTTTTATTTGCTTAGAATAGCAATTAGACTGATGTAGACATTGGTGAGATGGACCAGAGAAAAGGATAAGTGTGACCCTGTAAATGTAGCAGTGTGTAATGACTGGCTTGTTAATGTGATTAAAGAGTGCCTGTTAATGGCATAACCTATTCAATCAGTTCTTAGGCTGCATCCACTGCAATAGCTATTTACTAACTCTGTATTTACAACAGAGCACTCTATATTTGGATGTTCAGCAGGCTTAAAGTAGGTTATTATTTGAATTTGGAAAAAGTCTTTCTTGAAACAGACAGACAAGCCTCCTCCAGTTCTGTCATGAAGTATTCAATCAAGTAAGACATCCTCATAAATGGTTTACAGATCTGCACATAGCCAGCCCACACAGTTTCTTAGTGTTATTTAATCATACAAGGAATATGACATATTGCAACATGATGGTGGAAAATTTTAAGTCGAACCAACCGCTAACAAAAGTAAAATCAACAAGTGGAATTCAACACGAAGAGAAAATACTGACTGGGCCAGGTTGTTTAATAATGGTACTTGCTCACTGCATCAGTCCAAATTGAATGCATGCTGGTATCACAGGGGTAACTGGCTTGCACCTTTTTGGTGTGAAGTTAGAGGGAGAAGGCAAATGTGAAACTCGTTGAAAACCAACAGGGTGTTGTCACCATGAAGGCTGAGCAGATATTAGGTTTGGGACTGAACATCATGTCAGTTACTCTTCCAGGACTAATTTTAATTTATACAAAGCTGGTTGCTTGCTTTTTTTTTTGTCCATTTTCCTTTGTTTTCCCCACTGTTCTGTTGATCTCTAGCACCACCCCCCAAGAGATTAATGAAAGTCTCTTATAGATTCCCAGGGGCTTATGGACTGCCATTTTGAGAACTACTGCCATTATGTAAGATGAGCTTCTGTCTTGAGGCCCATGTCACTGCTAACACTGCCTATTCGATGGTTCCACCTTTTTGTGGTTGTGTCTTCAGCTTCCTAGGCCTCTACTGTAATTCACTCCATAAACATCTCTGCTTCTCTTTTTTCTCCTTTAAAATTCTTACCATATCTGATAAATGTTTGATGGTTAAAGGTGACAAGACATATGAAGTGAAGGCAAATGGTCAGATTTGAGGTAGGCTGTAATTGAATATGGGCTCAAGGGGTTGAATGGCCTGTTCCCATTCCCTACTGTTTCTAGAGGTGACTGGTTCAGGAGCTTGTTAGGTGCATTCATTCTGGATATTGAACCTAGTTGTAAGCGGAAACCAATTATAAAAATAACAAGTGAAAGAGTACAGAGGAAGAGTTGAGAAAAGGAATTTGAGTAAATAAGATCATTATGATATCATTGAAGGAGACCTTTATGATATCGTAGTAGGTAGAGTGCTGAACAAATTCCTTGTCTTCCTCGAACTAACGGTCCATGGCGATAAAGTTTGGCTGAGGCGCTGACAAATATTCAAGTATATCCCTTTCTGAGGCAGTTCAGAGGATTCTCTATTGTTTCTCATTCTGTGAATATTTTTGATGTGCCTGTAAAAGTGAAGTTGCCTTGCTTAATGCCGCTGCTTTGTGTTACCCAGGGTCTTGCAACGAATCAGACAGCGATGATTCAGTGCCCGAACTTGAGGAGCCTGTGGCCCCGGTTCCAATAGCTGGACAAGAACAGGTTTGTGAAAGTTTTTCTGAATAGCCCTAGCAGTTGCCACCTCCAATATGGTTGGAGTTTGGATCTCTAGCCTGTGCTCCCATTCTAAAGTTTAGCCCTCAGCCATGAAAATTGCTGATGGCATCCTGGGAGTAGCCATCTTGTATGCAAATCTTCTTTTGAAGAATTTTAAATGTGTTCCTATTCATTATCGTGCAAAATCATGATAACTTAACAGTTGTGATATTTTGAGTAGTAAACACAGGCTGATATAATTAGGTACAATTATTTGAGCTTTTGGATGTGGAGTCATAGGCTGCAAAGGCATTAATTTGTGGAAGTCTTTGTAGTTCCCAGTAGCGATGTGCTTACACTGCATATTGATTTGAAGTACTCCTTGTATTTGCGTTAAGTTGACTTGTTCAACAGAATGCTAAAAATATCTGCAGAAAACATCAGTTAAAATGCATGGAGGAAGTCATTAGTGAAGTGATAGAAGGTGTAAACTACAGTATTATCAAGTGGCACTTGCTCAGCAATAGCCTGTCTGCTGACACCAAGGGCACTCAGCTGCTGACCACATTGTAGTCTTAGTCCAAATATGGACAAGGGGCTGAACTCCAAAGATGAGGTGATAATGACTGCCCTCAGCATGCTTGGGCAAATGCTGACTTGGACTTTTGTTGATTTGTGAATGCCTTTGTAGTGAAACACGTGTCATTTGTCAGAGCTGAGATGGGGAAGATGATTTGGTGTTGCATCTCCTCACTCAAAGTGGTTTTTTGGCACTCGTTAACCAGTATTTATAGGCTTGTCGTAGATCTTTTTTAACAGGAGTTGTGGTTATTTTCCATTCCGTGCTCCATACATTCCACTGGTTTATGTTGCTCCAAACCTGACGCAATGGCCCAAATGTTTGCTGCCAGGTCAGGAGTGCAGGGTCATAACAATTCCCAGCTCTTTACAAACTTGTCGGGGGAAAAAGTGCCTGGAAGTTTAGAATTTTGTTTCATTTCTGTGAGGTTGGACTGCCCCAGAAGGTCTTCGGTGGAAGCTACAGGGGCTGCTGACTGCGAAGGCAGGCTGTGGAAAAGGTTCACCTCAGTGCCTCAGCACTGAGTGAAAGAATAAATCGTTAAGAATAGTTCTTCGGACCTTATACACCACTCTCCCTCACTCCCTGTGTCACATCTGTACCAACTCATGCTATCTCAGTCTCTGCACACCACACCCCCATAGGCCATCACCCCCTCTGAAAACCTGGGCTCCTCTACCCATCCCCCAAGACATTAATGAATTTTATAGACCGTTGCAAATATTATGTCAACCCATTTTCCCCCTCACCCAGTATCCATTGCTGTTACACTGTCCATGTCAATTCACCCAGTATCCTCTATGGGCACACTGAGGTTATGAATTTGCTTGTTTAAAAAACACCCAATTGATAAAGATCCCATTTACTATGCTTAACTTCCTTCAACTACTTAAATTACAGTAAGAAGTATTTATATTCCTCGTCCTGCTTCTAAGACTTTATAAACACTTGGAGCTGTCAATCAAACTATGAAGTGACAGGTTCCTGACTGTATAATAGATTGAGATTGTTCAGGCAACACTAGTCCTACATTGGCGGTGCTCAGGCCTGTGTCAACGGGTAGAATGAAGTAGTATGTATTGTTTGTTTTTTTTTTTAAAAAATGTTTTTTCAACTATTTAAAGAGAGATTTTTAATGAACGTTTGGTGCCCTTTGATAGTTCCAAAGAGTTTGACCATTCTGTTGATTTTATACACTTTTATTTTAACACCATCAAATCTACTTTTAACAATGCTAAAGAGTGCTTGACCACTCCCAAAGATGCACTGAGACAATTTTTGAGATGGTTATTATGCTTCTCCCCAAAAAAGTTATCAAACCTCTCCAAAGAGGTCTGACTGATTTCGACCTTCTACCAAGTTTGAAGTGCACCAACCATGTTTTGGACATCTCACTGGCAAAAATATGATCGAACTGAGGACAGCGGTACTTGAACACACATGGTTGACTCTGCAAGTTAGATTGTATCTCCCTCACCCAACAAACAAAGCTGGTACCATTCTTGCCAAAATGGAAAAATTCAGGCTGAAGTTTTCGTACCATCATAAACCACACGTGGAGACTTTTCAGTGAGCTGTGCTTGTGGTACCTCTTCTTAAAACATACTATTCAGTTAGTCCCAACAACCTTAGATAACAAGGTGTAGAGCTGGATGAACACAGCAGGCCAAGCAACATCAGAGGAGTAGGAAGGCTGACGTTTCGGGCCTAGACCCTTCTTCAGAAATGGGGGAGGGGAAGGGGATTCTGAAATAAATAGGGAGAGAGGGTGAGGCGGATAGAAGATGGATAGAGAAGAGACAGACAGGTCAAAGAGGCGGGGATGGAGCCAGTAAAGGTGAGTGTAGGTGGGGAGGTGGGAGGGGATAGCTCAGTCCAGGGAGGATGGACAGGTCAAGGGGGCGGGATGAGGTTAGGTTAGTAGGTAGGAACTGGGGGTGGGGCTTGAGGTGGGAGGAAGGACAGGTTAGGGAGGCAGGGACGAGCTGGGCTGGTTTTGGGATGCGGTAGGGGGAGGGGAGATTCTGAAGCTTGTGAAGTCCACATTGATACCATTGGGCTGCAGGGTTCCCAAGCGGAATAAGAGTTGCTGTTCCTGCAACCTTCGGGTGGCATCGTTGTGGCACTGCAGGAGGCCCAGGATGGACATGTCGTTCGAGGAATGGGAGGGGGAGTTGAAATGGTTTGCGACTGGGAGGTGCAGTTGTTTAGTGCGAACCAAGCATAGGTGTTCTGCAAAGCGATCTCCAAGCCTCCACTTGGTTTCCCCGATGTAGAGGAAGCCACACCGGGTACAGCGGATACAGTATACCACATTAGCAGATGTGCAGGTGAACATCTGCTTGATGTAGAAAGTCTTCTTGGTGCCTGGGATGGGGGTGAGGGGGAAGGTGTAGGGGCAGGTGTAGGACTTCCTGTGGTTGCAGGGAAAGTGCTGGGTGTGGTGGGGCTGGAGGGGAGTGTGGAGCGGACAAGGGAGTCACGGAGAGAGTGGTCCCTCCAGAAAGCAGATAAGGGTGGGGAGGGAAAAATGTCTTTGGCGGTGTTGGATTGCAGATGGCGGAAGTGTCGGAGGATGATGCGTTGGATCCAGAGGTTGGTGGGGTGGTACATGAGGACGAGGGGGATTCTGTTTTGGTTGTTATTGCGGGGAGGGGGTGTGAGGGATGAGTTGCGGGAGACACGGTCGAGGGCGTTCTCGACCACTGAGGTGGGGGGGGAAGTTGCAGTCCTTGAAAAACGAGGACATCTGAGATGTTCGGGAGTGGAATGCCTTATCCTGGGAGCAGATGCGGTGGAGGCGAAGGAATTGGGAATAGGGGATGGCGTTTTTGCAGGAAGGTGGGTGGGAGGATGTGTATTGTAGGTAGCTGTGGGAGTCGGTGGGCTTGAAATGGATATCGGTTTCCAGGTGGTTGCCAGAGACGGAAATAGAGAGGTCCAGGAAGGAGAGGGAGGTATTAGAGATGGTCCAGGTGAACTTAAGGTTGGGGTGGAAGGTGTTGGTGAAGTGGATGAGCTGTTCGAGCTCCTTGTGGGAGCACGAGGCGGTGCCGATACAGTCATCCAATGTAATGGAGGAAGAGGTGGGGTTTAGGGCCAGTGTCGGTACGGAAGAGGGATTGTTCCACGTAACCTACAAAGAGGCAGGTATAGCTTGGGCCCATGCGGGTACCCATGGCCACCCCCTTTGTCTGTAGGAAGTGGGAGGAATTGAAAGAGGAGTTGTTGAGGATGAGGGCGTCAGTGGAGGAGGACTGGTCGGGCCTGCGGGACAGGAAGAAGCGGAGGGCCTTTAGGCCATCTGCATGGGGAAAGCAGGTGTATAGGGACTGGACGTCCATGGTAAAGATGAGGTGTTTGGGACCGGGGATTTGGAAGTTTTGGAGGAGGTGGAGGGCATGGATGGTGTCACGGACGTAGGCGGGGAGTTGCTGGACCAAGGGGGAGAAAATGGAGTATAGATAGGTGGAGATAAGTTCGGTGGGGCAGGAGCAGGCGGAGACAATGGGTCGACCAGGGCAGTCAGGTTTGTGGATTTTGGGAAGGAGATAGAAGTGGGCGGTGCGGGGTTGGGGAATGATGAGGTTGGAGGCTGTGGGTGGGAGGTCACCTGAGGTGATGAGATTGTGGATGGTTTGGAAGATGATAGTGGTCTGGGGTGGGATCATGATCAAGGGGGCGGGAGGAGGAGGTGAGAGCTGGCGTCTGGCCTCGGCGATGTAGAGGTCAGTGTGCCATACTACAACTGCGCCTCCCTTGTCCGCGGGTTTTATGGTGAAGTTGGGATTGGAGCGGAGGGCTGCACGTTCTGCGTGGGAGAGGTTGAGGCGATCGATGTCGTGCCTGCAGTTGGAGATGGAGGTTGAGGGAGGGTAGGAGGAGGGCGTGTGTTGGAGGCGGGAGAAGGGGTCAGTAGAGGGAGGGTTAGGCTCACGGTTGAAGAAGTAAGCGCGGAGGTGGCGGAAAAACTGTTCAACGTCCAAGTGTGAGCGGTATTTGTTGATGTGTGGGTGGATGGGGACAAAGGTGAGCCCTTTACTGAGGACTGACCGTTTGCCCTCAGTAAGGGGGAGGTCTGGGGGGGATGGTGAAGACTCGGCAGGGCTGGGTGCTACTGTCTCTTCTGGAGCTGCTGGCTGTGGAGCTGATGGGCGGGTTGGTGTCGATGGTGGGCGGAGCAGCGTCTGGCAGAGTTGCGCCGGTGCCGGTGTTGATGGCGTTCGCTGTCCCGGAAGTGGTGTCCCAACAACCTTTTTTTTCCTCCTTGAGTGGGAAAATTTACATGACTCTTTGAGCAGACTGCATTTATTGACACCATAACACAAGGGAGGAGCACTTTTATTCATTCAAAGGGATGTGAGCATCTCTGGCTAGGCCAGCGTTTGTTGCCCATCCCTAATTGCGCTTGAAGGTGGTGGTGAGC